TGAGTGACTCTGTTCGCGATGTGAACGGTGGCTTTATTGCTGACAACTCGGCCAAAGTCGAGCGCTGTCGTGAGCACTTTGAGCACCATCTCAACTTCGATACCCAACTTACCTCGCCCTTACTCTCCTCCTCAGCGGAGTTTTTCCCTCTCCTACGTTTGCAGTACCATGCGATCCTCCCTCCGAGGGAGTAGTCGCCGATGCCATACGAAAGTTGCGCAACAATAAGGCACCCGGAGAGGACGGTATACCCGCTGAAATCTTTAAGTCTTGTGTCGACACTCTGGCTCCCTGGCTCCATGAGGTGATTGAACGCGCGTGGAGAGACGAAGTTGTTCCTGATGACTGGGGCTTAGGCATCCTTGTACCTATCCTCAAGAAGGTAGATTAGACGAGATGCGAGAACTACCGCGGCATAAGTCTCATCGACGTTGCTGCGAAGGTCTTCGCTATTGTCCTACTCAGGCGATTCCTGGCTGTGCGTGACTCAAGGACGAGGCCCAACCAAGCCGGATTTCGTGCTGGACGTGGATGCGCAGACCGGATATTCACACTGAGGCGCATTCTCAAATTTCGCCATGGCTACCAACAACCGACGGCCGTCTGCTTCGTTGACTTTGCCGCCGCGTTCGATTCCGTTCACTGTGAGTCCCTGTGGCGGATAATGGCGTTAGATGGTGTACCGGCAAAAATCACCGCCATGATCAAGGCCTTCTATCACTCCATTATTGCGAGAGTCCTGGTCCGCAATAATCTTTCCCAACCGTTCGATATTCGGTCTGGCGTCCGACAGGGTTGTATCCTGTCACCCATACTGTTCAACTACGCTATTGACTGGATCCTCGGGAGGGCCCTACGCGACAGTGACGGCGTTGAGTTTGCACCCGGACATCGACTGACTGATCTCGACTATGCCGATGATATCGCCTTACTTGCTTCAAGTTTTGGTGATCTGCAGTCTATGGTGCCACGGGTGAACGAGGTCGCTAAATCAGTCGGTTTGTCCATAAACGCTGGAGAGACCAAAGTGTTCTCAAGCTGCATCCCTGACCAGGAGAAGGCACCCCTCGGGATTGATGGCTGTCAACTTAAAGAAGTGGACAGTTTTAAATACCTTGGGGCGCGGCTGCTGCCTAATGGACAGAGTAAGGACGACATTGTCTCCCGAATCAATGCTGCCCGCTGGGTTTTTCAAGCCTTCGGAAATGCCTCTGGAACCGACGTGACCTCTCCATTGCCACTAAGATTCGCGTGTACCGTGCATCTGTCCGGTCTGTCCTTCTCTACGGTTGTGGATGCTGGGCTTTGCGCGTGGAGAACGAGCGAGAACTGGAGGTATTTGACCACCACTGCTTGAGGACCATCCTTCGAGTGAAGCTCACCGACTTCGTCTCAAATGAGACTGTCCGCGCTCGCTGCGACAACATCGCAAGGATAACTCAGGCCATCCAAGAAAGGCGACTGAGGTGGTTCGGGCATGCTCTTCGTTGTCTACCTCAGGCGCTCAGTGTTACTGCCCTCAATCTGGCATCGTTGCCCCATTGGAGGCGTCGAAGAGGGGCTCAGTTCGAAACCTGGCTCGACACAGTTCGTCGAGACATGAAGGTGGTTCTTGGACATTCGGTATTCGGTCTCCGTCGTTGGCGAAGGGAATGGGTTGAACTGTCCAGATCTGGTGCCGTGGGTCGTCACGCGTGTAGAGGTACAATTCGGGACATCATCGAGGCCGGCTAGATCAGGCATGATCGCAGCCATATCAATTACAAGTAAGTACATGTAAGTACTCGTATACGTGATCTTCAGGAACATAAGCAACAGGTTATCAAGAAACTAAGTAGGATGGAAGCTCAACTGATCAATTTTGCACTGATCTTCCTTAATCGAGAAAGCAGGTATCAGAATAAGTTGTATTGGCTATCACACATCATCCATCATAGAAAGCGCCTTGCTTCATTCAAGGAGTCATTTTGGCGCATCAGCTAACAAACTTGCTTACAGTTATTCATTACCCTTCCTATGAATCTGGAGCGTTAGTTGGCCCACCGGGAATGGCATGACTAAATGATATCCACTGTGGAGTAATTAAGCATTTTCGAGGTGTCCATTCGGCGTTTATGAACACTTGTCCCATGGGCAGATTTCATTGGCAAACCAAGTTCTTCATTTGTCTGGCGTTTCGAATTAACTCGCAAACTTATTATCAGAGACAGAACCCGATTGAATGGTAGGACACAATTAGCGTACATTGCCTGCACGTATACTTGTCTGCGGGCAAAATCATGAACAAGGAATGTTCGCCTTGGCTTACGCCTTCTTAATGAACCATAATCACAAATAACGCTATTTGCAGCCTGAAAGGTCATCCGAAAGGACCTGTTTTCAACCCTCCACATACATTCGCAGTACAGAATTGAATTAACTACTTGAAAGCAGTAATTTATTTCTCTTTAGTAGTCTGTATGGGCAGTCGTAAAACAAAAGGTATTGTATAACTAACAGACATCACACTGTGAAGACTTCAAATAAACCAGTCATGGTTGAATTCACAGTCATGATTTCCGTATACACACTTGCTACTCTGGTCCCTTAAGTAGTCGTAACTTCTAAGCTTTCAGTTCTGTTACGAAAAACGCGCTTGGCCAACAGAAACAGCACAGTTTGCCAAGAGGTCTTTAGGCTTCTTACCAGATGGACAGACAGATGTCAGTGCGATTCCACTTCGTTGTCATGGAATACACTCCAACAACTAAAGGTAATTTAAACTGAGAATCGTTTACTTAATCGAAAACCAGCCAAAGGCAGCTTCACAAACCACCGAGTGAAGACGGCTTGTCAGTGTAATTGGGTCTTTGTTGCGTTTAACTCTTCAGTTCGGAAAGTCCATGCTCTCTCGGTTCAACGCGGTCGAATGTGCCCTCATTCAGACTATTTAGTACATTTTGTGGTGTACTTTCTATTAGTATGAACATATCCTTCGGCTACTTAGGGGGTTGACGACTAAGCACTTATGGCAGTTTGTTCGCTTTATTCATCGAAAGATGTCATTAACGAAAATTTTCTATCAAACAGCCGGAAGAAGATGTCGCGTCCGCAAGCTGGCTGCCGTTATCTATCAGAGCACACCGTGAGCTTTATAAGGAAGCAAATCACCAGTTTTCACGGAATCCTAAACCACCATTTCCGACAGGATCTTCTTCAATTCTGATGAGTGGCACGATCGGTATCTCCTACAACGTTCCTTTGCCATACACAGAATTCCGAAATTCTGTGTCTCACGCGCAGTGAAACAGTGCTCCTTTCGCCGATACAAGCGAAGATGCGAGTTCCAGGAACTAGTTGATCAGAAGAAGCGATCGCTGGAACAATGGCTTTATTCGCCTGACGTTTCGGATTCTCTCTTGAATCCATCATCAGCGGAAGGCGGCTACATTTCTTAAGTCAGTTCGTAATGTAAGCTGCGAGGAGCGGCTGTATAATTTCCAATTGCCGGAACCTCAACGGAAGGCGCAAAACACAGATCTTGCTTTAGCACAAGATATTGTAAATATAGGCGATATGAAGCATAATTACTCGTTCTAACATATGTAGACGAACGATCATCCGGTCACAGAGAAAAGCTATCCAAACATCCTATAAGTAGATGACTTCGAACGACGCAGCTTTAACTGCATGCTATCAAGTCTTGCATAAAATTTACCAAAATATTATTTCGGACACCCGGGCGCAGATTATTTTAAAACGAACCAAATCCCTTGTGAGTCCAAGCCACAAACTAAGGAGTCATCTGAGATAGAGCTCAAAAATGCTTTGCCAAATTTTGTCCGCCATTATGCCAATAACACGTGTCCTTTTTTAGCCTTAGTATATGCATGTTTGGGCCACTTCTGAGTACGGATGAGCTATTTGCTTTCATGAGAATTTGTCTCATATTTGAAGTCGTTTTCAGCCATTTTTTGGATTGTTTTTGTAGGTTTTGTAAGTCTTCTCTATTCATTTTTGACCTGCACTTTTTCGTTTGTGAGTGTTCTCTTTGGCTATTGTTTATACTTTTCGTTCCTGCTATTAGCTTTTTCTTAAAATGTGGATGCTGGCGCACCCGCACACTGCATTTAGCCACAGCGATTCGTCCATCAGGCAGCTACAAAGACCTCAAACTTCCTTCTTAAGTGTTGCCAAAAAATCCAATGCTTAAATTTTGTTTGATGACCAAGCATGTATTGACAGAACATAGCAAATTATTCGGATTTTCAGACTTTTGCTTAAATGTCTAACCCTTTCCCCTGATTGGCAGAGTGCCGAGGAAATATTTACCTTTATTTCTTTTGGGTGGACTGCGATGGACAGGGTCACATTTTTAAATCCAATTCATTGACATTGTCGTTTGATTGGGAATTGTTGGGGCAAAAATTGTCCTTATAAGTCCTTGATGTCGTTTTGGATGCTTCTATCGGTACTATTCCTGTCCATATAACAGCTAAGTACTTAAAATTCAACCCGTCATCGTTTCATTTAAATTTATATCTTTGTGGAATTTTCAAGGAAGGGCCTGAAATTTCAACAAACCTGATGATCCCTACATTAATATGGCATTTTAATTTAACCCACCAACTTGTTCCCTCTGTTTACATTCCCTTTGCTACAATAGTACACCGCTCCTTCTACTCTATCCTGCGGATGTCTGTTTGGAAATTCACAGTGCTCGATGCAGGCATAAAGTCTTGCAGCGGTTTGCAAAAAGATAACAAGCTTTCCGAAGATAAGATTCATAATTGTCGTTCATCACGTACAGCTTGTACCCTGGACAAACAGCGCAGGACCTCCACGATACATTCAGAAAGGTTTAAAAATCAACAGGCTTCTACGTGTACAACGCTTTTTCAGGCATGAGGCTATAAGTGCGCGGAGACCTTACAAGAACATATCTTAATTTTTATATATTTGCAGAGTAGTTGTTTTAAGCCGCAGCCCTTTTGCCGCGGTTTATCGTCGGGTTTGTGGCTATGGGCCCCCCTACACTTGAGGAGGCAATTTCAGAGTACAGCTACGCCAGAAGACGATTTTCTACCAGCCAAAACCACCTCCTAGTCGGCCTATGGACATTTTTTGAAAAAGCTGCGGCTGGGCTCACTAGCTTATACAGAGGTATCGATCTTTCCTCCATTCATAATACTTGTAGGTAATCTGGACGGCTGTTCGGACAACCAATGCCTTATTGAAGCCCTTCATCGGATCGACTCGTTCCATAGAGGTTGTTTCGCCATTTCACTAGAAGAGCTATAAAATTGCTAAGTACCTATCGTGCTCCACCTTCCCCTTGTGACCCCAATGACAATCAGCAGCCCCCACTGGCTTTTAGCGCACAGCTTTAGTGGTCTTGTTAAAACCTAAGCTAGAGGGGCACAATGTAAGACCTGTGTCGCGATATGGGAGCGGACATCTTCTGAGGGATTGTTAGCGCAAATTCTTCGTTATGCTAAGGGCTGCCATTTTGTCATGCGTAGACCATATTCCTCTTCGCATGTAAACGCGCATCAGGAATTTCATTCATTTTGCGACCGAAATATGCATTTGTTATTTTTCTAGAGTTTTGCCAATTGACATGCGAACCGAATCGGAGATTGCAGGGCCACTCGAACTCGGATTTCACCACTTACCAACGTTTTCAGTGAACTTCCTCGGTGTTCTTACCAGCCAGCACTGAGTTTGGAAAAAATGACATCTCTGAAGATTTCGAAATCTGTTCGGCGCAGCACGTATCCAAGTAATCTCGATCGGTCGACTAAGATAGTGTAGTTTGTGGGTTATGTTCGTTTGTTGGAAACGCGATTTTAAAGAAGAACTCAGAGAATAGAGCGCAAACATCATTAGTCGAGGGCTTACAAGTGGTATTTATGTATCCTGGGCCCACTATCCTTTTTTCCACCCGTGTGGGAAGATGGTTTTCATGGATGTATGGTCTTCCGACTGCTCTTATGCCAATTTTGTCGGTTTTTAAAGGTTCGAACGAAAATCGCGCGTGCCAGGTTGATCCGGTGGTTGTCTTCATCTTCACCCGTTTCACATGCCTGGTCCGAGATGGCAGAAGTTGCCCCTTAACTCAGGAACTTCGCCGTACAGATATACGCAACTGTAAAACCCGAGGCGATCACCACCATATCGAAGGGGTTTGTTTAAGACTAATCTAAGCTGCCTTCGAATACGCTCAGAACTGCGCACTGCATTTCTGAAAACATTTCGCCAACACTGCAGCACAGCCAGCCGTGTCTAGGCCCATAACATGCTTACCACATACTGTAACACCTAAGTGGTCTGTCACCACGCGTTAAATACCCCACACTGATGAACTAAGTTACTAGAACAATGCCCAGTTGGACGCCAAATCAAACATCGAAGGAATTGCACATATCACTCAGCTGCGTTTGATCTTTTTCCTATAATAGTGACCCCCTATCAATCGAGTTAGACCCTGAAATCCCGAAAAAAACAAAGCAGACGAGTAGATTAGTAGTAGTGGATCAATCTCTTGTACGTTTCCCAAGCTGTTCATACTTTCTTCCTCATCCATATAGATATTCCGAACGAAGCACTCGATTCTAATACCACTCTGTTTTTGCCAAGTACGGCATTGTTTCTAGTCTGACACACGAGTGACAGTTAGAAGTGACGTGTAGCGGGCACGCCATTCTCGTTCCCCCTGTCTTCCCGTCTATAAATACTTTTTAACACTTAGATTTTGCTTTTTTCCGTCTTAGCCTCAGAGGGAATCCTCCAGTGCGCAATGAAACAGGGTGTTGCCCTTGGTTATCACTTTCAGCGATTGTTACTTCGTGATCGTTTTCTAGGGCACGATTTGGAAGCGCAAATTCGTGCCTGCGACATTTTTTCATCCGTTCTTCAAGACTACGATGACAGACAATATGAACCACTGCACCAAAAACGAAGACGTTCATGTCGTCGTGCCTGCCACTGCCGTGCCCGCCGTCCTCCAGTCAAACGCTGTCGTCTGCACAGGATGACTCATCGCTCTAGAAAATCGGACTGCTTGGATGCAGGAAAACAGTCGGCAAATTTTGAAAGTTTGCCCAAAAACCTAGAGAAAGACGGCCTCGTGCATGGCGCAGCCTTCGATTTCTCAAGAGTCTCCCTGGAGCCCCCAAAGGAGTGGCCATTATCCATGGTTGAGTTCTCATCCGTCCCTGCGTCTCAAGCACTGGACTTCCTCACTAACTATGCACTAAAGTGTAGGTCCTCTAAGCTGCTAACCGAGACTCAGTTTGCCCTTCGAAATTCGACTTTCTTTCAGGTCATAATTGTCGTTTGTTTAAAAGGACTTCATATTTTTTTGTTCTTAAGGCAAAGCGGAATTGAACTTAACTGGGTATTACCACACACTTTACTTCTGTTGGGATACTGCTTTCAGTATTCGAAATATTGGTGTGGTCTCCTCCCCAATTTCGCATATGGCCTAACTTAGCGCTAAGAATCTTGCCTTCTCTAAACTACAAACTCCATTATATGTAAGCAAAAGTTGCGCAAAGATCCCATGTGGTAATCGCCATGTCTGAGAGAACTCACTAAAATTTATTTTTGTAGACCATTCATTGGCCAATCAACTTGATTTCAACTAAAAAAACTGCGACTTAGGAACCTCGCGGCCTTCTTCCACTGAAATCGGTTTTTATTCCGAGGTATTTTTTGTTCACTGGCTCCTTAAAGTGCTATAATTCTAGCCTAGAGAAGCCCTCCTGAAATACCATAGCGACTTCCGTACAACCACCCGCAAACACTCCCAAATGCGCCGAGTTATGGGGTAGATCCTTTGCACTGCGTGACTATTTTATTAAGGTTGAGCTCTCTTTAGTAATTTTATTTTTCAAATCTCAAGTTCCGATATGACCGTCGGTCGCAGGAAACTACTTTCTCTGTGTACGGAATCAATACGGCGACAAAAGGCTCGTCTGACACAGTGTTTGCTGTTGCCTGTAAGGCCAGTACCGACCGCTTCCTGGGCTGTAGGTATAGAGAAATCAAGTCGTATTTAATGGTCAGATGTCGGTCATCCTTGTATTTTCGCGGAGGAGAGGACGAGTTTTGAGACACTGGAACCGACCTCAGCCAATTCGTGCTCCGAACTAGAGTAGATGGAGTGACGAAATGGTTGCACTCTAGCATTTCGCCTGACTCCGTCATGACCAACAGCAGTCTGTGATAACCTTAGTTGCCAAACCATCAGCTCCCGATTATGACAGAAGCACATTATTACTAGCAGTCGTTGATCCAAAATCCAAAATATCATGCATCTCGGAGTTAATTTTCTACGAATAGAATTAAAACGATACCGTCCTTCCAGTCAGTTATTCTCAAAGGCCGTCGTTATGCCTTGATTGTCGGACGTCTGTGCCGCCAAAACGCTATAAGCAAGTTCTCGACTTTGTACGCAGGAGACCGCAACTGTTAATCTATGCTGCCGTTTTTTCAGGTCCGTTTCTCGAGTGAGGAATGTGACTTTATCTTAGAAGACAGCCCGATTTACCTGTCGCGACGTTGCGCGGATACTTCATATCATAAGCTATGACTGAAAATGTTTGGATGGACCGTTCGCCATCTACCTCATGTGCCTCGTACCGCTGCTGTTTATATCTGGCGACGCACCTGTCACAGGTGACGTATAGGCAGTCAGCCGAAAATTTGGCTCGATGCGGTATAATAAGTTCCTAGGGCGGTTCTTGGGCCTAAAATATTCAACTACGCAGCCGACACGGTCCTCTCAAACTCGCACGCCCGTTCGCTGAAATTATTTCCAAACTCTAGAAGTTCGATTCCCCTAGCTGATTTACAGCTAAGCATCCAGGTCGACTATTCGGAGCTCCAGTAACTGTTGTCATCGCCCCTCCGCATCCAAATGGGGTTGGCGCATGCGCCACATAAACAGTTCGAGTCACTTCGACTCATTGACGGTGTTTTGTGCTTCATGAAAATCCTAGCTTGGTGTATACATCAAGTTTTATCTACTCCAAAAAATGCACACCGCTACTTCGGCTGACACTAACTCGTTAAATTTTCAAAGAACACGTATGAGGTCCCCCCTTCATTGCACCGGCGAATGGTGCCTCCCGTTGTACGCTAACGTGCACTATGCATTTGCCAACCGTAATTCTAAAAGCGGAAAGCCACATTCCATGGAGCTGTTAAGGAACAATGTTTCCACAAAAAGTCTTATACGTTTGTTTATTTTTGGAGTGTCCCCATCGTTTTCTACGCTTTTGCCCTTTTAAACGAGAAGTAAACTACTTTTGGTCGAACTCTCCCTAGTGGTGATGACCATAACTGCGGCTTGGTGCGCATCGCAGTTACTGACATAATCTTCGGCTAAATCAGTTTTTACCTCATCAAACGCCCTCTTTAACAATTTACACAGGGGCCGTTGCGTTTTAAAGGCATTCCCTCGAAAAATCGCGCACATTGCATAATCCTGGAAATGGATTTCGACAATCAGACTAAACCGTTGTACTAACCGTGCCTGCATTGTTTTTGTTCCGTGGCATAATGTCCCACCCCCTAAAGACGCTACTTTTTGAGGTACCTTATGTCGTCCTGCCGCTTAGAACCAATGTGTTATTTGATTGATCAACACGCCTCCAAATCCAGAACACAAAAGGTTCTTACCCCCACCGAATACCCGTGATTTGACATTCCTATTATCTCGGCGCTCTTTGGGACTCTGACAGATTTGGGTTAAATAAACATGTTGCCCCTTTTCCGGTCCTGCGATCTTTAAGCCGCTTCTGAGTAGATGGCCTTTAATCTTAACCCTCGTCGCGCCCCTAGTATTTTCATTACCTTCCCGTCCGTCCGAAGCCTGACGCGGTGCATAGTAGAAGATCTGAATAGACAGGCCTCTGTACTTGATGAGAAAGTTCACGAAATATGCCAGCCATTTTCGAAAAACAGTTGCCTGGTGCAGTCCACTTGCATTAACTCTCCTTTTCCTAATGCCGTTTCCTTCAAGCCGGTTCGTGCGAAATTTGTGTTCCTTACTGCGACCTACGAATTCACCATCTTCCTGCCCTACTGCACCTTGTCTGCTTGAGTCGTCAGGGAAATAATTGCGTTTAAGATAATGCGTAAGTAGTAGTGAAGCGCCTATGTACAGAGCATCTCAGCGTAAAGCAGGTGACCCACTTGTGATCCGAGCCCCTCGCAGTTGCGTTGTATGGTTGCTAAAAACCAATGAATCATGTGTCGACTTTCTGCCAGTTCCTATGCTTGAGGCATAGCTAGACAAATTGTGCCACAGCCACATTAGCACTCATGAATACTACGCAGTTATTCCATCTACTTCGATACGAATCGGCTCATATATCTTTGCCGATGTTGGGGTCAAACCTGAGGGTGCTTGCTCCACACACTGCATCAAGTTCCCACATTACTTTCTCACGGAATTAAAAGCTTGATACTGGCGGCTGTATTTGCAAGCAATTAGCTTTTGGTTTTAGCGATGTTTCTTTCATCTAGTCGAATGGTTTTTTTATTATGCGACTTTCTTTCTATAGCTCGCCACCGGAGAAGCCGTAGCTACAGGCCTTTTCCATGCAGCAATACCAGTTCAGTACTCATGCCATCAACCACCGTCGCAGATCTCGGTGAAGCAGGCCTCATCCCCACTAGAACTTCAGACACCCCCTGCGTTTCCCCGAATGCTTTTGGACATCAGGTCATTGGTCCACCGCCTTCTCTGTCGCGTAAACGTCTAGCCGAACACGGCTCTTACATGTGCAATACGGATCCGGCTTTCTTGGATGCCGTCCATCTGTCGAGTAAGTTTACGCCCCTATCTTTTATACTTTTATCACAGACTTTTAGAACTTGGTGTGTTTATGCTGAGTAAGTAACCGAACTTTGTTCCGTCCGATGTCCGGTAGGAAGTAAGTAAACCCTGATGCAGGAAAAAAGCGGAAGTGACAGTAGGTACAGAAAACCAGCTAAGAGATCGGGGAGGCGAAGACCAACTTGTGACTATCGGGTCTATTCGGTATGATGTTTATGCTTCTTCAGGCTTGTTTAGCTACTTCCGTCGTAGCAGGTCCGTTGTAACTGCTTTTTCTTCGTTTTTGACACCGTGCGTTAATGACAATAGTTCCAAGGGCTTCGTGAACCACGCATGATCATTTATTATTACGTAGTGATAAAGCAGTTTGGCGAAAATTATTTAAGGCTATTAACTCTCACTGCCGTGTTCATTCGTTGCAGTTATCAGCCTGGTAATCGTCCTTTCCTTGCACTGCCACAGAGCTTATGTTATTAGATCAGTCGTTCTGTTTCCTACCGATAAAGAACTTTCCTGTTCCTAAGCAGCTTATCTTGAGTCTTATAATTTCGTAAACTGCAGTACTTCCAGACAAGCTGTCCCCTCACTCACTGGAGATACGAATCCTGATGTCCATTTTCAGATCCCATTGAAGTAATTTACTCGCATTACCAATCCAGATCCGCTTATCCTGAGTTGGTAAAGCGTTGCGAACAATTCCCCGTATCCCTTGACATTATGGGCACCCATAATCAATGACTACTTTCATCCTACCACTTCCCACCGGATCACCTTTGTAGACGGCTTTGCGGCGTCGGGCGTCAAATGTTTCGAAACAACTGGTTTGATGTCTATACTGGTGCTCGAGGTCGCGAACAGACGATCATTTACTGGTTCGCCAAAGAGGGCATGAAAGTAGCCCCAAATGACTACCATCTCGGTCTGCTGTCCTTTCCAGTTTACCTCTGATGTTGTTTGTCGTTCAGCTTTTTTGGTCCAATAGGTAGTCGCCAGTTCGTGATTCCTAACTCAGGAGTCGGAATTGGCTTGCTCTGCGACAGCAGTAAGATTATCCTGCGCCCCATTTCAGTGTTATAAATGCCTGACCTACTCTTGATAAAGTTTACGTTGGAAATACTGACGGAACCTCACTTTCACGCCTCGTTTCACCGCCGATCTGACCTCACCTGTCGGCCGTGTGTACTATGCGTCTTTGTGCGCGTCACACCGTGTCCAGTCCTGGATATTGTTTGGGGTGTAATTGGGTAAACACCCCGTTGAGCGAATTCAAGGTACTTGCTGTCTTTGACGGTTTACCCGTGAGGGCCCGACGTAGCCGTAGTTTGCATCTTTCGGGGACGATTCTTCATTAATTCTCCTCATATAGCGAGAGAGTGCATACTAATGTTCTTCGCTGTATAAAATTACAATGAAGTAACCTCTTTCATCAGATTCAAAGACCTTTTGTCGTTTAAAGTAAACCTCGTTTTCGTCACCTTTTTGCAGTATATTGCGGGCCACATATTACATGCAGTCTCTTACTTCCTCAAACGAAATCATTTTCCCTTGATCGACCATTTTCTGGTCGAATTTACTGTTTCTGTTTCGATTTCTCGAGCCATCTTTGGTCTTCGGTTAGTGAAATATTGCTAACGTCTCCTCTGATTTTGCCAACTAGGGCTTTCTGTGTACAATGAAGTTGTGGAAGTATACAAAATGCATATATTATTTCGAATTATTTCCAACATCTCACTGTGACTTCCACATACCTGTAAGATTAATGGCTACGACGTTAGTAGTCAGTCGGTCCTGCACACCAGTCGATAGTGAGCGGCGCTGGCCGCCAAAAAGTTAAAGAACTTAACTGTATCACAGCAACTGTACGGACACTTTTGAATCCGTTGTCATATGACCGATACTTGTTCTTTTTGGTGATTGGGACGCTTTGAAGACGTTTTGTCCCGATGTAACTGCTGAATAATGTCAGTAACGATACGAGTACTGATAGCTAGGGCCCTTATTACGCTACCAGACGAATTAAACAGACATATTGCGATAGGCGCCAACGTTAGATCTTTTGACAGCAACATGCCGATATGGCTTTGCAATATAGTTCGTAACAGTTTTGTCTACCTCCGTCTGTACATAATTCGGTTGACACTGCAAATAGCAGTTCGAGGGGTGGTACCGTCGTTCCCGTCCTCTCCTGTCGAAATGGGGATTCGATCGTGCGTCATTATCTAATATAAGCGAGCTTAGATGCCCTTCTTACTAAAGTAGTCGGCGGTGTAAGATAAAATGCCGTGAGTCGGGTAGGGAGTTCACGATCCGACAAGATCACCTCGTCAATTTGGTTGACCAAAGAGGACTGAACCAAGTGGTTGGCATAAATACCACTTTCTGGCACTCAAACAGTTATCTAGTCTGACCCAAAACGGAGTCTTCTAGATCGTTGTCCTAGCGTGCCCGGCCAATGTTTTGTTATACTCCAGCAAGTAGGAGTATACCTGTGACTGCAGTCAGCCGTCTACCTTGGTGATTCTTGTAGTAAGAAAAATTAAAGTACCCTTCAACTAAGGCATATGTTTGTTATTCGACCACGTGGCTTTACGACACACATTTGGAGGATAGACCATACCCGCATACATTTCGACTACCTTCAAGAAAGGGAACATTCGTTATGCATGCCAGGCTCCTTAAGGTTGACGGCAGTCTTTGTGGTCAGCCTCTTTGATGACTTCTGTCTGTACCATGCGACTGTCGGGCAGTGTCTCGCCGAATCCTTGAGCAATAGCAATATTACTGGTAGTCCACTTCCGTTTGATTTGAGAATGTTACGGCTACGTCTTATAATACCCACTGGAGCTCTCTTTTGTCAGTTGTGTCGCACGATGACGTGACATCATCACGCAACAAGGATTAACGTCCGAGTAAACTGCCACCAGGGGGATTTTAGTTCGGCCAAAAATCAAATCGAGGAAATATGAAACTTTCGTCAGGACAGTTCATCTGTGCTGGTCTAATACATAACTCGTATGTTTAGAAGATAATAACTGCCCGGAGACATTCTGCCGCTGGCGCTTGCGCTCCTTTCTCCGGGTTCACCTCAAATGGCCGCTGTAGCGGTTGCGTTTTGCCACTTTTGGCTCCGCCCTCTGCTGTGCCAACCTGAAGGTAAACTCGTCAACATATAATGTCGTCCGGTCTTGCCTAGCCGCGGTGCCCAAGTCTCCAGCTGCAGATGCGAAGCAAGGCACTTATGGTCCGCGATCTACGGCGTACCCAGCCGACATGCCACTTAATTCCGTTTGGATCGGAGATCTCTTGCCAATCGAATGTTCTGGTAGGTAAGTAATCGTGGCGTATTTAACCCACTGCATGAAGAGGATCAAGTTAGTTATGATGAATGTCGTCAGTTTTGTGTACGAATGCTGATCAGTGTCAAATAAGGCCTTTTCCTAAAAACGTGCAATGACTTAATCGGGCGGACCGGTGTCAAACGACCTCTCGAAAGGAATGAGGATGTCTTCAGTGATATTCTAACAACCTCCTCATACTGTATTATGTGAACTCGTCCTCGTTTACACGACGAGGGGTTCTGTCGTCGCCCATCCCGACGCGGTACAAACTCGTTTTAACCTTACATTGCTTTATTTTACTCCCTCCCCCCCCCTCAAGGCCTAATTGATCCGCTGTCTAAGTGCGCTCTCAACAACCTGCCTTCGGCTGCTCCCTCACCCAAGCGCCAACGTTTGAGTCCTCAACCCCAGTCTCAGGATTTACCTACCTCTTCCAAACATCCAGTAGCATGAGGACTACTAGTCAGTGAGCTGTTCTCATCCGCTGTGCCATCTCCACCACCACCACCACATGTGTGCTGGTTTTCATACTTGCGTTTCAATATGCGAACGGCTACAAACACCTACGGGGCGCATTGTTTCAGAGACTCCCTACCAAAAAGTCACTCCCCAGTTTTTGTAATGTATACTTTTTTCTGTTATCCTGACAAAAATGAGCTTGTGCGTGTTTGTTTGCATGTACGACTAAATTTATAATGTCCCATCTGCTGCCCATATTAAATGCTGTTCCCTTGGTACATTTACTTGACGGGGAGCTGATAAACGCCATCTATCTTGCATGTCCGCCTTTCAGAACTGTCCCCCACTAATGAGTCACTGGACCCCCATTTTACCCTTTGTAGGGCGTTTTAAATCCCTCCCCGACCTCTGCAATGCCATGTCTAAGGCTACTGTCGCTTCGGGTGATTAGTGTCGCTTTTCGTCTGACGTGTGCACTGCCCTCAAGTTGACCTCGGTATCAGTAGTATCGTCTGTTAGAAACTCATGTAAAATCTACAACCACCTGTAGTCATGTAAGTGTTTGACTCTGAGATTCATTGGAGCTCTGATCTCAACTTAATGACTGCACCGAAAATATGCCACTAATGGAGAGAAACTGGTAGAGCGGTTGCAAACCCTTTCAGGAAGGTTTTACGATCGTGTCGAAGGAACCTGTGAGAGCTCCAGACTTCCATGCTGAGCATTGACAATTCGTATTTATCCTCAGCGGTTGAGTGACCTCCGATGTGTACGGGATGACCCCATAAATAATACTTGGCCGTACGGTCCGCAACCGCAGCGTTCGTTGTATCTAATAATTTTGTCCGACTGGAATACAAGTATTATGCCTGACGCATTTGCGCCTTATTGTGCCTTTAACACTTGTCGAACACGTTATCTGATACGAAGGTCCAAACCTGACGTAATCTGGCCTAGGCGTGTTGAAACCGCTTGCGATCCTCTTGGGGCGAATGCAGAATCACGCGAGAATAGAGTGATCACTCACCTTTGCGGTCCGGCTAATTCCCTTATTCCAATATGTCCCCGACAGTTATTCGACATTCGGATCGGCCAATCAGCATGCCCCTGCGCATATCATAGCGGCGGCGCCCGTGTTCGCGGTGGCTACATGCCCACTTTCGCGCGTGGGAGCCCGACCGATCGGGACGCTGCAGTTGCACAACGCTTGTTGCCGTATGTGTGGAAATCGCGTACACTAGATTTGGCGGAATGCGATGCGTTTGCACCAACGCAACGAAGTTGGATTTTCTTGCCGCTTGTCTGTACTGTGCGCAGCATTGTTCGTCCGTCGCAAGCAATGAGTACTACTACTACTGTTCCGTCCGAACAGCGGTGACTTACGCAGTTTGGATCACAGCGGAGGAGATATGTACAACATCTCTTCCTCTGCTCACCCTGTTCCAATGTTCCATAAACTGTCGCGGGCGCCGTGAGTGATCCGGCATATGTCTTCCGTACGTACGCGTCACTTGCGTGCTTGCCCCTAGATGGGAGCGAATCAGACTGATCTTTTGGACTTGGATTGCAGTTATTATGAGGACCGCGTGGGCAATAGACCACTGTAGCCTGTCACTCCGAAGTGCTCCGTGCTATCGCGTTAGTTAGCAAATTCCCAAGCTGCAATTGTCAGCATATAATTATAATTTCGAGGCACATTTGATTGAACTGAGGAGGAAGTAGGTGCTGGGTGTGAACTGGACCGATCTTCACCCCCGCCCCTCATCGGTCATCTGCGTGTCCAAGTGGAGAGTCAAGTCGGGTGCGACTGTTCGACGCAGAGCCGCCATTGGTCACGCATCTAGTCCCTATGCAGCTCTAGTGGTACATTGCAGGCCTCCTTGGAGACCAGCAGGACATACAAGATGGGTAATTTGTCCTAGAAGGGGTATTTTGGAACTTTCGTTCTTGCAACCGCCGTGATAAGTCTGGATTGTCCTGTAGCCTTGTCACACAAGTGGTTTGCAGTCCCGTTTCTAGAGTTGGGCAAGTTTCCTCTGAGTGAGATATAACTTAAAATACATACAGGCTCGAACCCGTGAAGACCCGCTTTACACTGATTAATTCCATTTATTCGTTAAAAATAAGATAGTCGCGAACAGGAAAATATATGAACCGATGGAATTGGGATCTTTTATATTTTATGTAAGGCGGGCTACGAATTGAGTTGACTTTCCTAGAGCGCTTGATCTCTCCCATCGCGAGCATTTGCGAGGGCCATGAGCTCAACCTGCCAGCGGAGGTAATCGCCTCGAGGAGAATCTGTTATCACTACTACAGAATTCCGGCGCGAAATAAGTTTTCAGGACCGGCCGAGTCTTCCCCGGTTGAACAGTTGTTGCTAAATGAACAAAGCAGAGACGACATCGTCACTCTAGCTGATGTACGCATGGATTTTGCTGGCCCCAATGGTCCGCGCGTGTCAAGGATCCTTTCGGTTAGTTCTTTAGAATTTTATATGTCACGCTGAATGCCAGCAGGTGAGCGAAAAGCTCCGATTTTTTGTCTTAAAGAAGCAAACACGTGGCCGCGATTTGCCTTTGTCTGCCCTCGCAAGTCCACTTGTCGAGTTCTAATGACTGGGATCTGGGTCGATCCGGGCGTACATGACTGGACTCCTTGTATCCTTGTTAAGTTATTTTCTTTGTCGCAACTGTAGCTTTTTTACGCATACTTTACGTTTTCTAGCATCAACCCAACTACACGACCGGTTGTTCAGGCGCTTGCTTCTGATCCGTCTTGTGATGCACTACACATTTCAGCCACTGCTGCCCGAGAACGATCCATAGGAGGAAGTACACTGACTTCGTCCGAATGGGGCGTTTCGCTCTCGCCGCATCATGGAGTGGCTTTCCAGGTCATCCCAGATTTTCTCTGCCAAATGGTTTAACACACCAAAGGTTGCGGCTTGAAAGGTTACGGACTGAATGATGAGGCAAAACGGTCCCCCCCGGGTCAGGTCGCAATGACTCTCGGTGTGGCTTAATGCAAATCCCCACAAGGAGAAATTCAAGGTGCCGTTTTTAGGTTTGGTTTGTGTGCGCCTAGGGGCCGTCATGTGTGGCACACGTGGATGCGGATTCAGCCACCGCATTCACGTCGGTCCTCGGTTTTCTTGACCTTGTCATGACATTGCAGCGCGGTGTCGGTAGCAAGGACGACCTCGATGTCATGTAGGTTCCCTTCACTATAAATTAGTTTGAATACAAGTCGCCAGTGAGCTCCGAGATAATAATGGTCCTCATCAAGCACGATGGACAAGGTACCATATAGAGCGTCTGGTCGAAGATGTGGTCCCACATGAGACATGTGACACTGCTATACTGTCACTAATGCACAGCACCAGCCAAACTCTGGAAAATTTCATTCTTTTGGGCAGGGCACGCAGCCGTTTAGTTTTGCCTCTCACAGCCAACGATTTCCGTCGATTACCTAATTCAGGGTGGAGCTACGCGGTACAATGCAACTGTCCACATTTGTGTAACACCGCATTAAACAGCAGAACTTGGAGGAGATCACGAGGCGAGGTGCAGTTAGCAAGCAGAGCATGAAAACTGGATTAGAGACACGTGTATCAGTGTGGTCACACTTTGGGCTCGTGTTGGCTTCAGGGTTGGGAGGTCGAGTAGAGTGTATAGATGACATGTTGGCCGCCAAGTCGGTGAAATGCTGCGCTGAATTGTCGAGGAGACAAGGAAAAGGTGCCTGACCGATTCATCGTCATCTTCATCGGGTGGTTTCTCCTAAATCAGTTCGTCACTCCGATAACGCTGCTTCAGTTTCCGACGAAATGGTGGGTTTAACGGCTACGGCGTCGAACGCGGGGCATGAAGAGTCCTCACGGTTCCCATCAACTGAGGAGGAGTCGAGCGTACGGGATGCACTGCGCACCTGGGCAGTACGCTCGCAAATACCGCAAACCCATCTGACAAGTCTTCTCTAGATCATGAGACGGATGTCGACAGCCGACGCGTCGTATCGGCTCTTGGATGCACAAACGCTGCTATGAGGGGCAAACACTGCGCTACCAATTATGGTAATGGGTAGTAGTGAACACGTTCATTTAGGACCTATTAGCCAATTAACTGAGCAATTATATGTCTGCTCCATGCATATTCTGGGTGATGTGGTCGTAACTTATTTAGCAATCGATGACTTACCCATTCATAGGAAAACTAAGAGAGAATTTATGCCAGTTCTATGTAGCATTATGCAGTCTTCCGTTAGCAAAGTGTGCCGTAGGAATATATTGCGGCCATGGTAAGTCGTCAGATGTGCAGTCGTTTTGCAGACCGCCAACTCAAGAGTTATTAACTTTGGCCAGATGTGGTCTACCTATCCATGCAATTGACCGGACGCTGCAGTTTCGCCTGACCATCATTATTTGTGGCACATTTGTTAAAGCTTCCATAAGGGAAATTAAAAATGTGGATGCCTACTTCGTCTGCGAAAGATGCTGTGTTAGGAGTGAATATGTAGACAAGATAGTCTATAAACTACCTTAAGGCAGTGTGTCTGAGTGTGCTAGATCGGATGAGGATTTAATATCCACCGCCGGCGACTGTCACCAAATGGGTATTTGGCCTCTGATGGCGTGTAACGTGGGAATGATTACTTCTCGTCCACACGACCCTCTGCATTTAATTTACCAAGTGCCATGAGAAGGCCCCTAAACCTGTGGCTTCGAAGCCCTAGGGAAGATGCATTTAGGTTATCAACGTCAGCAGTAAGCACGGTAAATGAGATATTCAAATCTCTGAATGTCCACCTGCTGCGGCAATTTTCGCAGCGAACCAGGTCTGTTAGTGATATAGACACACGGAAGAGAAAGGAATTGTGTCAGTTCCTGCTTTCCACTGGTATAATAGCCCTCCAAAGGATTCTTCCTCGAAAACATTGGAAGCGCTCTGTATTACTGTGTACAGCAATACGCTGTCTAGTTCGTCCGCGCTCATGCAGACAGTGGGTCCACTACTGCAAGTGTCTGTTGCGCCTGCTTGTTGTAAGGCTTTCTTCTCTATATGGTAAGGGTGAGGTGGTTTACAATGTTCACAACATTGTATACCTACCGGGCGATGTTCCACGGCATGGCCCGCTTGATAAGTTCTCTTCGAAAGTTTCCTCGGAAAACTGAAACGAGTGCTTAGAAAATTACCGCAGCCACTGCAGCAAGTAGTACGTAGATTAGCGGAGCTGCGGGGTAAGCAACGTGACATAGGCAATCCATCACACTGGACTTTTAAATGGGAACGCCCCGAACACCCACTATCGCAAGCGGGCGGGTCGTAGCACCCTTAAAGCAAATTCAGAAAAATAAAGTATTCATTGGCACCACACTTCCCGAGGGATCGGTCGCGGTCCAAGGTAAGTTAGTATGCATTCAGCACATTGTACGTAGGAGGTTACCTAAATTATCCTACCAAGTCATTACAAATCAAAGTTCTCAAAGCTAAGATGGGAAATGCTCTCAAAACCTGCCCATTGTGATCATCGGTGCACGAGTTTTTTGCTTTCCAGCGGACAATCACTTCCGCCTTGTCGAAATGAGTGGATGTTGGGACTCAGGTGGCTGGGAGCTGTGACTCGTGAGTATACGTATATTTAGCCACGGACAACCCACCACATATTCAGAAGGAGTGACGGGTGCGTCGGGCGATAACTTTTCCCTATATTGTCTGTAAATCTTTGTGCTCACGCTGCAACTCACCATTCATCGGTCATTATTCACGATTCCTGCAACCCAACAACGCGCGTAATCCATGTAGTTATGGTATTCATTAACGAATACCACACTCCATATACTTTGTTATTTAATGTTGGGAAATTATACCTGAGGCAGCCAATCGTTGTTACGTTACTTAATCTGACACTCATCAACATATAAGCAAGGGTCATTGTGTCGAACTACCTACTGATTTGATTTGTGTCAAAATCTGTTAAGTGTAAGATAGCGGTCAACGATCCCACAGCCAAAGAAAACGTGCCGCCTCCCAGGTCCGATCAAACAACTCTTCTGACAAAGAAATCACAGATTCTGAAGCGTTGACTCGATCTCTCCAGAAGTATTCCCAACCGCTCGCCTACGATCTCCGGACACCGCCATCGACCGGTTCCCCAAGTGAAAACGAACAACGGGTCAAAAATTTCGCCTTCCTCCCCCTAGAAGTCACCAGAGCCTTACATAAATTTGTCAGCGAGAAAACGTCGGGATACAACGCGCTCTCCGCCGATGTTTACAAGCACGGCAGCCTCCGGCTGATTGACAAACTTTAGATCATCTTCCTGGAGATGTGACATGGAGAACAAGTCCTCCAGAACTTGAAGAACTCGATCAACGGCCGTCTCTACAAGACGCAGGGGAACCGGCAACTCTGTGGCAATCACAGAGATATCTCGTTGCTCAAAATCGTCGATAAGATATTCGCCCTTATTGACCTCAAAAGCCTCAGCTGCCGTCTTGAACATGGACTTCTCCCGGAAAGCCAGTGCTGATTCTGATGACAACGCGGAACCACTAACGTGACTTTCGCTGTTTGCCAGCTGTAAGAAAATTCCCAGGAACTGTTGGCCAATCTCCACACTACCTTCGTGGACTTAAGGAAATCCTTCGACACGGTTAATCGCTAATGAATCTGGAAAATCATGCAAAAACTCGGCTTCCCTGATCGATTCATGTACATGGTGTGTCAGCTTTATGACGGAATGATGGCGCGCGTCACGGGCAAAGGTACCGTTTCAGAAGCATTTTCAGTGGCTAATGGAGTGAAGAAAAACTACGTACTCACCCCCACCCCCTTCAGCCTCACACCCGCTGCCATGCCGGTGGATACATGCCGCAATAAGCTTCCTGTGTTCGGCATCGCCTACAGAGCCGATGGCCATCTCAACATCCGGCGCATGCAATCCCTGAAGATTCTAACCATGACTACTGTTCACGATCTGCTCTCTGCGGACGATTGCGCTCTCAAAATCGCGATATAAGCGGGTAAGTAGCGAAGTCTGGGCCTCTCCATCCCCCGTCTGCGTCAACCTCGGATTGTCCACAAACGCAGAAAAGACGATGTTCGTGCACTTACCACCACCCAAAGTTGCATACTGTGTTTCCCGAGTTCACGTTCAGAGCAGCTGGCCGGAAACCGTGGACCGTCTCGTCTATTTATGCAGCACACTCACACTGCATCAAAATCGACGACGAAATGTCTGATTGAATCTTCAACGCCAGCCAGACCATCGGCAGGTTGCTTGTCTCACTGTGGAGTAGCCTCGGAGTCAACTTCAACACCGAATTCAAGATGTACAAAGCCGTCATTCTGGCGGCGCTGCTATATATAGCGGAAGTCTGAAACGACTGTCTTAAGGGAATCCTGATGTTGAGGTAGCACAGCAAGACTCCGGACACGGGAGTTTTGAATAGACCGGAAGCCTCAACACCAAAGTCATGCTGAGGCAACTGCAATCGCGATTGGATGGCCACTTCGTGAGGATAGATTATGAGCTACAACCCCAAAAGATCTTCAACGGAGATGTCGCTAAAGGTGCTCGTCAACAAGAAGGACAAAAAGGTTATTATATAAAAACCTTGAAGAAGTCTCTCGAACACCTACAAATCAACCAGGAGAACTGATATTATTTCGGCTGCGACCGAATAGGATGCAGAAGAGGTATGAGGACGAGAGCAGCAATCCACGAAGCCAACCCCGTCACAATTGTCAAAGCCAAAAGAGTGGTTCGCAAGTTTCAAGCGTGGACCATTCGCAATACTACCAGCGCATTCTAAAATGCCCACACTGCCAGTGAAACTTCTGCGCGCGGATTGGACTCGTCGAACAATGCAGGACCCACTGCAACAATGATCTAACAACCGTAAGTGCTGCCTCCACAAACGCCCTACCATAACTCCTGATCTAACTTCCATGGTATCGACGATGACGACCAACCCCAACGCGGTGACTATTCTCCCGATGCCAAATCGCAGGCCATCATCCTAATCCCTAGCGTTCCAGCCGTGACGACGTTGATTACCACCTCTCCTACATACGTCACCGGTGGGAACACTTCCACTGCTCCCTCAACCACCGCCGGCGATGTGGGTTAGGTCCCAAACTGTCGTCAGTGCGGTCGCACATTCATCTTAGGCCTGGTCGGTTAATTAAGAACCGACCGCACTGTGGCCGATGAGCCAGTGCCAGGATCTTTGACCTGCACTTGCCTCACCCGTCTTCACAGTCCCCACTGTCCACGCACATTCCGTCATCGCATGGGTCTACTGGGCCACACGCGTCTCCTCGAACATTTGTGGTAGATCTCCCTAGATTAGACCACGTCGCCATAAATTACTCCATCACCTCCTGCTCCATCGCACACTGCATGTACGAACGAGGCATCTCTCGCGTAATTGGGAAGTATGTTCTTCGACTATTTCTCCAGGTGGTCCCTCGGCCATATGCGAGATCCGAACAATCCAGCCCTCTTTATACGATACCCTGCCGTGTGCATGTGAGGACCTGTTCGTGTGTGCGGTACGCGCAGACGGGCCGTTCTCAAACCGGCCAGCCATCCATTCCAATCTCAGCATCAGCCGGTTGGCCGGTTTGGACAGTAATCTTGTATATAGGAAAGAGAAGAGGGAGCTTGGCCGAATATCAGCGCATAATTCCTTACTATAAACAATCTGACGTGCTTGAGACCATCACTGTGTGACAAAAGCTGTAGCTTGGAAGACTTCCAACTGGAGGTTCAAATCAGACCACACAGTCAGCCCAGCGTACGCTCATGCACTAATTGGTCGCCTGATGGACTAAAAGTCAAACTGTGATGGTTCCATCGTAATGCGGTTGTTATGGCACTCCTACTCCGATGGGATCCAAACCGCTTCCCTTTTCTTTTTGCCCGCAGTCTTGATCAGCTGTACATGATGAATTAGGTCTGGTGGCACGACTAGGTGCGACTTCCTGTCGAGACAGCCACCAGCGCCCCCCCCCCCCCATCCCCACACCTCCAGTCTTCTCGACTTCCTGATGACACCGAGCCCAGGTAGAAAGTGGGAACGAGTTCAGTAGATGCAGCGTACATATACTATAATTGCAAACTAAATCAAGCGCAAGTCACCGTCCTTGTGTCCACTCTACTGTGGGGCACTCGGTGGGCATCGTCGGAAACGATGGTCGAACCGTCGAATGCTAACGTCTATTCTTTACCATATAGGAAGATTTGTCGTTCTTACATCTTCACTGAACAGTTACATTGAATATGACCCAGTGATGCCGTTTTAACATATCTTCAGCCATCTGGGTTAGCTGTAGGAGAGCCGTCTCAGTTCCAGGATATCAGATCCTTTTTTCATACTGTCGGAATCTGCCCTTAGTACATCTAAGTGGTGTTCTGTCCTTCGGTGGGACTGAAAATAGAGTAGTTGGTCCCACAACAGCACGATATTGTTTCATTAGTGCTCGGACTTTCTTTCGTGAGCATTAGGGCAAAGCAACTGGCACTCTGATTTCCTGTGAATCGTATGAGTCTATTAACTAGGTATGTTGCTGACTGTCAGAATATCCTAGTTGGCTGCAGGCACATCGAAGTCCTCGAAGAATAGAACCACTTGGAATCTGAACACTTTTATGAAGAGATGGAAGGGGCAAAAAGGTTATGTAAATTTCCCGTGTTTATGTTTTCTTGGATAGTTTCATATTCAGGGCCGAGAGTGTATGATCGTTCAACCGAATACACTCCCAGCTTCATATATGCGTACCCTAGTAGCGAACTATATCGAGTAGATATCTATTAGATATTTATTTATTGATACATATATATATATATATATATATATATATATATATATAAAAGGAGAAGGCTCGTCGGAAAATCGAGGTATACTCGTGAATTTTCAAGTCGGTTACACCAACCCGTCGTCAGACGAAAATGAAAAGTGTGAGGGAGATAATCCT